CGCCGCGGTGCAACGCCCCGCGTAGTGCCCCAGCCCACGCCTCCATGTCGCCGCGGCTCTCCGCACACAGCACCACGCTGCGTCGCGCTGTTATCACCTAGAATAAACTATCATTAGACAAGCTGTCGGCTCAGAGGTTAAGCACTTGGTTTATAATCAGCAAGTTAAACTTAAGGTAGTCTTAGTTCTTTAGTGGAGGCAAACATGCTAACAAATCATAGATAATTAAAGAATCATAATGAGGACTGTCATCACCATCAATTTCCTAATGCAGCGTCTATGACACGTATTTGATATTTCCGATACATTTCTATGCATGATCATATAAAATCGTTTTAAAACATTCAACGTACCATACAATTTAAAAACGTTATGTCCAAGTTTAAAGCAAAGTAGTTGGGTAGCTATTTAAATCTACTGTATTTGTCAAAAGTAACTTTTGACTGAACGGAGAAGTTTAATACAGTGTGATACTTAATTAAAAGATGTTAAATTGAAAATAAGTTTTGTTAAGAATAACAATAAGGCCGAAGCTGTTCAAGTTGGAGATAGCAATTTAAGTTAGTCCAAGTTTACCCTTGCAGAACAGCACTGGTTACGAACAGAGACTGCTATGGAGTGGGCAATTCGAATTTATTTTCGCCGTATAAAATGCCGTTCGTAACTTTTTTTATTATTTTTTTTACAAGTGGCAACTATTAATAAACATAGATAATTTATTTAACCTTAATTTTTTAACCTCTTAAATATTTCACACTACGGTATTATGTATACATCATAAGTACTGTTAACCAAAGATAAGAAACGCTATGCTTTTAACGAACTAAAAAACCTTAAAGACTTTAAGTACATATCAACCGTATATAATAACTCAGTATCCCGGAAACAGCTCACGTAGCTTTGACAAAAAAGTCCCCAAAATGGCGGAGATAAAAGGTTTTACATTAAGTAGGGAATGGTCCCGGCGAGGCTGTGATCGCAGTGTAATGTGCCCTTTATTGAAATAAAAGCATTACTTTGAGATAGGCCTTAAAAGACCGCGCGAAAGCAAAGGTTAGTCGTGTCGTAAAAACCAACGTGTGTATAACGCTCATCGAATAGATACCAAAATTTTGTTTTAAAATATGGAACTTTTATCTATACTATTATAATAAAGCGTAAACATACACTTCTTTGTTGTCTAAAATGTCAATTACTGCATATTTTTGAATAAGTATTTTTTTAATAAAAAGCCCTCCGCTTACGTCACGCTTTAGGCTATATGTTTTCATGTCACTAAACTTAGAGGGTAAATATTTTGACACATGTAAACAACAAATAAAATTTTCATAATTTTATGCGGATGAAGTCGCACGGGGACAGCTAGTAATTAAATACAAGTCACAAGTTAGTTATAGGTTACATTAGTTTACGTGACTTTTGAAAAATTAAAAGGACCTCTTTAACCTTGTAGCGATTATATAACGCGTTTATCGCAACGTATTTCATACACGCAAATTAGATAACATACGTTCCAAATTCAAATATATACCCGTATTTCTTATAACTTGTAGCTTTTACTGATAAGCTTTGAATTTGCTTACTTGTCATTTCACGTATGAAATATACGGCACGGTTCCTGAATAAATAAAACGAGTGTACATCTTAACGAGGGTGCCAGTAAGTCCGGGGCGCAATTGCCGCGTCCCCGCCTTTAATGTTTTGTAAACATACTTTATACGTTCCAGCAAAGAGTTTTCAACATTATGCTGAGATTTCGACATTATATTCCGTTTATTTTGCAATTCGTATGTAAACGGATACCATGTTTACTTAATTTTTGTTTATAACGTCAGCATTACTGACTGGAGAAATAGCTGTAAAAGAACATTGTTTTCTTTTTTGTTTTTAAAAGTTTATATAAAAAGATTTAAACTTTATTCATTTTATGTGAAGGGGTGACAATAATGTCTGTTAATCTCTGTTTTATCTAATAGTAGAGAAATGTTCCTTTCAAATACGTATTTTCCGAGAGCCAGCCTCGGCTGTCAGTTACAATTTATTTCATGTTAATGTAACTTGGATGAATATTCGAATATGCATTTCAATTTGAATTCTAAAATGTATGCAGACCTAAATATTGGCTGTATTCCAAAAATAATACAGAAATCACAAACATAGAAATAATATTAAAATTGAAAACTGGCAACGTTACTGCGGTTCCTCTGGTTTTGCGGATGTCCATGTTCGAAGCTAACTTTTGTCATATAAAACTCAGATAGTAAATGCTGAATAATGTTTATAAGAAGAAAAACAATGTTTTTATACGAGCATTAACTAGTACACTCGAACGCATAAATATTTACCGGCCGTTAAAATCTATTAAGCGTATACTACAGCCCAAAAATACGTTTTAACCGAGTCCAGAGTAATTGAAAGCATTAAAAATTACTGCGACATTTAGGCTCCCGCTTCGAAGTACTTTTGCCAAACTGCCCGTTACTATAAACCTTTATTTACTTTTTAAATTTGTGCTTTTCTCAAGGGGACTAGAAAGAGTAAACTAAAAATAGATTGGATTCAATATCTGGGGTATCAAACACTTCACCTCACTCGAATTTTATTACTATAGTCAATTGTTTTTTAAAGGATCCGATTTTATGATACACATGCCAGTAAAGTGGAGTAGCAGGTTCCAAACCATATGTGCATCGTGCAAGTTACTGGTACTCTACGTATACACAAGCGAATAAAGTGTTCACGATACCGTACGAGATGAGACGTTAAGGTTCAACCCCCCCTTTATCCTATAATCTCATATTTTTATTTATAATCTCAAGCCTATGTATCAGTCGTAGAATCGTATCCGACCTCATTGCTGGCACGTGTCAGGAGCATACATGCTGCTATTCTGGCAACTGGTAAATGAATTTCCGCTAAGTAATAATTAAAATAACGATTACACTATTTTAAAAGGGAAACATTAGCAGCAAAGAATATGTCTTAAAACAATGTAAGAAAACTACATGGTAATATTTCCTATACGTTGCGAAATGACGGAAACTTCTCGGAACAAATGATGTAAGTCTCGGGTTTTACGAAATAATTGTTTGTGTTCCCGTATTTTACACAGTTTGCGCATATTCTGTATGTGAAGTAATTTACAATGAGTGTTTCCCGTTGGACCGATTGAATCTGAACAATCGATCCAACAGGAAAAACTCATAAGGCATTAATCGATCGGTCAATCGATCCAACGGGAAACACCTCTAATAATACTAGACTTTTGCTGGAGTTAAAATGTTTTATATTCCTGCCAAAGATGATTAATCATCTGTTTTAAATATTTTTTACCATTATCAATACACAAGCATTATATTCAGACTAGTTTTTTTATCAGATACTAGCTATTCCCGTGCGACTTCATCCGCATAAAATTATGAAAATTTGATTTATTGTTTATATGTGTCAAATCAATTGTAAATGTCAAAATGACATGACGATGACAGACCATGGCAACCTTGCTTCCTTGATGTTGGCAGCAACTTATGGTCTCTTTCCCACATTAGGGTTTTTATCCAATTTATTTACCAACTAAGTTTAATACCATGAAAATATATAGCCTAAAGCGTGACGTAAGTATAGGGCTTTTTATTATAGAAAGATTTATTCAAAAAATTGCTGTAATTGCTGACATCTTAGGCAACAAAGAAGTGTGTGTTTACACTTTATTATAATAGTATAGATATTCTTTTACTCTTTCAACCAAAACATTTACCACACCTTCAGTGTTAAGTTAATACATGCTTCAAGTAAATGTAATTCCATTTGTGACTGTCAGCATGTAATAAGAGAGTTAATACCGACATCTGTCGACGTCTGCATGATTTCAGTCGCACAATAGCTTATTGTGCAGCAAGAGTATTCAAGCTGAGAATCCAATATGGCGGCTTAGAGTGGCCTGTATATGTGCGGTACATTATAAAAGATTCATTCAAGTGTAACTAATAGTATAGAATCTTGTAAATGTACGTACTTTGTAACATTTCTTTCAAAGTGTCAATAGAAGTATAATACAGGCTTGAAGTGCCTTATAAGGGATGGAAAGGGTCGGAAACTTTCTGTTTCCCCTCCTTGGTGGATGAATAGATGGTAAAGCATCTTTGCAGATGTCTATGGACAGCGGTCGTTTCGCTATTTCAGCGAACGCACGTCGCCGCTTGCTCATTTGCTCCCTTATTTTAAAACTATTTTTTTTTTTCAAAACACGCGATTTTGTTCCGCGTTTTGGTTGCTCTTAGTATCACCATTTCTTAGAGTCAAATTCGATCGAGGACTAAAAAATGTCTAAAAAATCCAACACTATACAATCTTACTAATCTTACTAATATTATAAATGCGAAAGTTTAGGTGGATGGATGGATGTTTGTTAGAGTTGGTAGCCTAAACGGCTAAACGGATCTCGATGAAATTTTGCATAGAGGATAGTCTGGAAGAACACGAGAACAGTTTTGTTTTTTTATTATTTCCCCTCGGACGGAGTCGCGGGCGAAAGCTAGTAATAAACATAAATTTGTATAGTGATCCATAGCTTTTGATAAGTAAAAATTAAAATTCTTATTCCTAAGCCAAAGACAGTTAAGAAATATTTTTTTAATCTCTTTGTACTAAGCTCTACTTTTCATCTGAAGTATTTTGATATTTGATACAATCCGGGCAAGCTTTAGTTCCGATATGACCATCAAAGAGGCGTTCATCCCAGGTATGTTGGTAATACATTTCTAGATTACCGGTGCTATGTTTTATGAACCTCTTAAAGCTGAACAATCCTCAGCGACGTGTGACGGATGAGGGCAGGGGGTGGTGAGCGATCGCAGCGCCATCTTTATTGCGCGACCTACTTGCCTCACACAGGGTCTATCACGTATTGAGGTCACGTTAATTATATCTGTAATGCTATCATCGTATCATCGGCTACGATTAATTTTGGAGACAGTATCATGCTGTGACAATTTTTGGCGTAATTATAATTATTTACGTTGTAAATGAAAATTTAAAAGATAGGGTATATTTATTTAAATAATAGCTTTCGCTCGCGACTCCGTCCGCGTGGAATTAAAAAAAAGCCTATGTGATCTTCCAGACTATCCTCTACGTCTATGCCAAATTTCACCAAAATCTATTCAGCCGTTCAGGCTCATCCATCTAAACTTTTGCATTTATAATATTACTAGCCATCGCTCGAGACTCCATTCGCGTGAAATTAAAAAAAATAATAAAGTAGGTAGTCTATGTATTTATCCAGGTCATCCTCTACATCTATGCCAAATTTTATCGAGATCTGTTCACCCGTTTAGGCTACAAACACTAACAAACTTCTATCAATCTAAACTTTCACATTTATAATATTAGTATGAAGTGTGATGGAGTTATCTGTTCGTTAAATTTCTCACTTGGAAGCTATGGTTGGCGTTGTTAATGCTGCACTCCGCGAAAGTGGCGTCCTCCAGCTCGAACTCGTCCCACAGTTGACTCTGCAACAACAAAGTAACTATAGTTAGTCTACCGTTCCACCGTTACGTTGAGTCAAACGTTTGTATTTCTTTTACCAAGGTGAAAAAAGACAAACCTTAGATGTTACATTTTGATAAGTAATAAAACAAGGTTTTTTAAAACGCATATTAGGCATTGCCTACTACTCGTATTAGATGACAATCGCAAGACCTGATCAAGTGTAAGTCGAATACCTACATCAAAAAGGAGTGTTAAAGCCACCCGAAGTCGTTGAATGAAAAAAATTAAACCCGCCTTCATTTAAAAAGTATCTTTTTAAGCTATCTTAAATATACATTCACGTGCTCTCAGTATTTCACATAAAAATATACAATACGAAGTTGTGACGTCACAAGCACACATGAGGTGGCTCGCCGTAGTCCCATATGAATAATGCACGATCCCCGAGGCGCTCTTCACTGTCACAACGATGTACAACGAGGGAGTAATGGAAGTGGCACGCTTTAATAATAAAACGAATAATTTTATTTGAACAAGTCTCGATGGCAATTACTTTCGTTATAAAAACTTTATTAGTGGAAACGACATGAGTATAAGTGATGAATAATGTTCTTTTTTTTTAAATAAATGGCGCTTGTAATTTATTTAAGAAGTGATAACTATAATTTTCTCAACAACCAATGGGTTTTTAAATTTCTTATGTCAATAGCTTAATAAATTAACATACAACTTTGTCTACATTTAATGCGAAAGAGGTAAGAGAAACTTTAAACCTAGATGTCCTATCTAGTACCTAAACTAGAGTAGGTACATCTATGTATATTCGCCCGATATTGCTCCTCAATACAGCATAACAATGGGAGCAGGTACGATAAATACACAGCAGTATGATTATTGAATTTTTGTAAGATAGATTTAAAATATTTGGCAATGAATTTATTTAGATAAATGATTTTTCTTGGCTTAAATTCTGAACAGACTAATTTTGGCTAAACCTAGTCTATACCTTTATGATCATAATGAAAACAGTAAACTCGTATTTTTGTATGTTTTAAAGTAACTGAAAAACTAATGGGCCAATTTAAAAAATAAATTCACCATTAAAAAGCTTCGTTGTCGTTAGGTGACATGATCAAAAGGGTATGATGACTGAGATGACGTATGAAAGAATTATTTGGAGGACGAAAACCTGTTGTGCCGACCCTACAGGAATAGGATAAGGAAAATGATGATGATGTTATCAATGAGTAGTGTAGGCTTTGTTTTTTTATTTTTTTTTATTTCACGCGGGCTAAGACGCGAGCATTTTTTTACTACTACGTATAATATATAGTTATTTGTAATATAGTAGCTGTTAACTATACAACAATAAAACAAAGAGCCCGACTCAATGCCAACTGTGCAATAGTTTTGTAAACATTTACACAAAACAACCAATAAACGTGTTAGCTAAAATTAATGAGGTTTGTAAACATGTACGGTATGTATTGTTTGTTGTTGTTGCCCTCAGTTTCATAGCTTATTTGTGGTAGTTATGAACGTGCCCAAGACGTCAGCACTCCGCATTCTAAATAAACTATAATACGTCTTGTGAACATTTTCAGCAACTAATTAAAACTATTGAGCATGGAAAATGTATGTATACTCGTGCACAAAAGACTTAACTTTAGTTCAAGTTGGTTAAATGTAAACATTATTATTAATATCATAATATATAATTCATCTGACGAAATTCAGAAATATGACAACTCGAGGTTGCTTTCAAATCTCATTGATAATATTTGCTTTTAGCTTTCATGCTATTATAGCTATTCCAGGAGTCAACTAAATAACAATTTAAATACCAATAATTTAGTTTTAAACGCCATTAATTATTCAAAATAGCTCCACATTGTTGTTTAACAATATAAAATAGTATAAAAACACCGTTGTTTTACGTTGATGTGGTTAACTTTATGTTGTTAAGGCGCGTTTACATGATACGGGATGCTACGAACGTACAACCACAGTTTGCGCATTCGCGCATGTATTTGTATTTCATTGTTGCCGGATCCGACTGACGGACACAATACGCCGATTCCGTGCGCGTTCAATCATATATTCACACACCGTGTAAACCCGCCTTTACGCTCTATTTTCACAGCTGGCTGACCACAGCAATAAACGTGTCCCGCCGGCGAGCAGATGTCGGGATTCGCGGAACTAGACTGCAACGTGTTGTACATTTTGTTCGGAGCCTGGGATAATAATGCGAATATTAAAATATAAACAAGAATCAATAAGAATTTTAGTGATGTTAGTTTTACAAGGTTTTGGTAAATACTTTAAACTCTTACTTAACACGATAAACTATCTTTGGACTAGTGAGCAACGTATATTTCAATATTTTGTACATTACAGGTAGGGTTGTAACAGAACTCCGTGTCCGCAACCGCAAGTGCGAAACTTCCGCAAGTAATGATAACTCTGCATCAGCTTCCGTTATTTCTTATGCGGAGTTATAACGGAGGTCAATTTACGTCTTTAACGCGAATGGGTTGATTAGGTATCGTTTATGCCCGCGCGGGCTTAATAAGTCAACTAACTATAATTGTACATTATATTGGCATAATAAAGTCCATTACTATGTACTAGATTCATGTATAATGCAAGGTTTAAGCTATTTTTGGGCAATCTTGCAATTTTCACAACCCTTTTCTGACCTTTGCCGATTCTCATTACATTTTCAAAAGCCCAGTAAAGGTTCAACCCTTTTCAAATAATTACTGCAATATGTACTTGAAAATGTTTCTCTCTACACATAAAAGAGTAAATATATGAATAGAAATAAAGGTCTAAAGAATTTGGCTGTTTTATTCGCTAGGTTATGTTTAATGCTTGACTACAAAGATCTGACCAATGAAATATTTCATTATTAAATTATTAATAAACGACTGACAATGACGTTTCAGTACACGTTTGAAAATTAATTCCCCGAATACTCGCAAATCACAAGGGAAATTCATTAATTATTTTCGGTTTTCCTTTGCGAGCGAATTTCATGAAAAACGTCGCCTTTTGTTGTCTATTTAATCTAATATTAAAGCTCTGTGAAAATAAAACATTTTAATATAATAATAATTTGTATTGTCATCGTTTCCTTTGAATATTTAGTATACAAAGAATGTAATTAGATAACTAACCAAAAAACACAAAATTAATATACTTTAAGTTAAATACTTAAACAGCAAATTGTACAATTCTAACCTTAAAACTTCAACATGCTTCTTTGATATCAATTTACTTTTGTATTTCAGGAAAAAAATATTATCGACATATACATTGTAGAGCGCCATCTAGTGTAAACATAATAATCTTTCACACAAAACATTGAATATTTTTTATTACCTACTAGCTGTTCCAGTGCGGCTACATCCGCATGAAATGTCAAAATTCAAATGCACAAATGACAATCTTGCTTTTTTGATGTTGGCAGCAACTTATGGTCTCTTTCCCACATTAGGATTTTTATCCAAAATATTTACCTCCTAAGTTTAATGGCATGAAAATATATAGCCAAAAGCATGACGTGAGTGTAGGGCTTTTTATTAAAAAAAGAACTATTCAAAAATATGCTATAATTGCTGACAACTTAGGCAACAAAGAGGTGTGTGTTTACGCTTTATGATAATAGTATAGATAGATAAAAAAGTTTTACAAGACTTTGGATTTTTGTAAAAACATTTCTATAAATAAAAACATGGCGACGTTCCAGTACGCTTAGAATGCGCTTTCTCCCACTTTAAAAAATGAAAATATAAAAGCTGGAGAAGGGAGAGTACAATGGTGTGATACGGCAACGTCTCGCCGGAAGAGGTCGCTACTAACAATGCCAACTAATTTCCAGCCACAGTCGGTTTCTGGGTCACATCCAAGCTATAGTTACATCACCATTCTCATAGCCTACACTAAATATAAAAACAAAAATACTGCGGAAAAAGATTTAAATATAACGCTTGATAAGTCATCGTTTATAATTCCATATCGCTTATTAACAGTACTAATATTACACATGCGAAAATGTAGGCTGAAGGGATCTCGATGAAATTTGGCATAGATGTAGAGAATAGTCTGGGAGACCACATAGGCTACTTGCTTTTGTTTTTTTATTCCGCGCCGACGGAGTCGCGGGCGAAAGCTAGTATTTTATAAAGACTATCAGTTAATACGACTGAAAATCATTGATTTCTAAAGACGGATATTTGTGGTCAATAATATTACTAGTTCCGTAGACTAGTGTCAGTCTTAATACATTTGACTTTGGACAACTGTAGTTAAAAACATTAACTTAGCCGTATAAAAATTTAAAGGCATTTCTTCTAAGAAGGTTGAATAAATATTTTTATAACTATGCTTCAAAATGTACGGACGTTTAATTACGAAGGTCTTTTATCTTAAATAATTTCACGTCTCTCAGAAAATTACGTTGAAAAGAATAAAAGAACTGTCGCGAACATTCGCAAGCGTTTGCTTTTAAAAAGATTCCATTATTTCATAAAACAAGCTACTTCATTGTTTTTATATTAATCGTCGAGTGTACTGTGGTTAGAGTTTTTAAATTCTCAGTATATTTAAGGTAGAAGACTAAAGCCTTATTATGCCAACCTTTTTAGATATAAATAAAAAGGAAAAATAAACATTTAAATTTGACAAAATTCGCAGTTGTTTGTAAAAGTAATTAGATACCTACGTTTCGTAAGACACAAATAAGAACCAAGAAGGAATGACGTACAGATAATATTAACTAGCTTCTTAAAAAAATATCACGTGACATCGAGTCAAGTATATAAAAGGTTCATTTCAACATAGTCCGTAAACGAGTGTGTGAGGCGTCGGCATTCAGGCCGCGTCTCAAAGGTTACACGGAGTAGTAGCCTTGGCAATGGTAGGATAGCCTTGAAGAGGCTCGAGCAAGCCTATAAGTAAGCACAAGTTAAAAGAGTAAGCGGATCGTGGAATTCATCGAATAAACTGATGTATC